GGCCCCCCCCCCCCCCCCCCGCCCTCCCTGCCCCCCCCCCTGCCCCCCCCCCCTGCCGGCCTCCTGCCCTGCCCTGCCTCCCTGCCTCCCCCCGCGCCCCGAGCCGCGCCAAGCCGTGCCGAGCCTGCGGCGGGCGGGCGGGCGGGCGCGCTCAGACACACGTAGGCTGCCAGAGTATGCCGTGGGGCAGCGCCAAAGTATGCAAAGGAAAAATGCTATTAGCTCATCAGCGCTGGAGAGACTAGAAACGGGGTGGCGGGGAGGGGGAAGGGGCCGCTGGCGAGAGAGGAAACATGTTTCTGGAAAATGTGCTGGACTGCACATCTCCCGGGCTGGAGCAGCTGCTGGTGACCTTCGTCTCAGCGCTGAGTAACAGTCGGATCCCCTTAATGACCTCTTAATTAGGAGAAAACCTCCATCAAATAAACTCTTGACTATTGACTTTTGGGTTTTGTGCATATGAGTCACACGAGAAATATACTGGCGATGCTCCTCCTGGAGTAAGTTTTCATTGAAAAGTGAAATTTCACATGGGAGAGGCTTAGCCCTATCACCAGAACAAATAAACCTAGTTTGGGTAGTGTCTCCCCAAAACTGTGCTGGGGAAGAGGAGCAGGCTGCGGCCCGAAAGCCTCTCCCTTCCTTCCTGCTTTTGCAAGAGTTCATCGGGGCTGTGTTTTGATAAGTACAATCACCCAGTAAGGCAAATGAATTAAGGTCCATGGATTTCAGCCAAAACTTCTTTTGGGTGTATTTTTCCAAAGGCTGTTTGCTTATGAATCCTTGCAAAGGAATTGAGGAGAATACACAAAAGTTCTCCTTCACCAAAAGTTTGGTGGTGAGGATATTTAAGTGAATCCTGTCAGCGAGGATCAGCCTGGGCTGGAGGTTTTCACCTTACTCAGGTAGATTTAAGGCAACCTGGGACTGCTGCCAGCTTCCCCAGTTCAGGTTAACAGTCCACATGTTACTACTGGCCAGGTGGATATTTGCCACTGGATTTTGATGTTCTTGATAACAGTTCTCCTGTCATTTGCTGTAGTTTGTTTTGATTGCATTTTACTTTAAATGGTGCACACTTTATAATAGAAAACTAGCAAAATGTGGTCCCACATTGTGGCTGTGATGGATGGTGAAGGCTGATTTACACTGCCGTAGAATTTTTGGTTGCAGTGCTCATCTTTAAAGTACTTTCACCACCCTGAAATCAGTGGTGTGACCCTGCATGCAAAAGGTCCCCCCATGGACGGGGGTCACTGGCTCTAAATGGTGCTGGCACCGGCTGCTTGCCACAGCAGGCTTGCTGGCTCCACTCTCACTGCAAAATGGTCATTCTGAAGAGCAGTGAGGAACACAGGGCATTCAAAGCACCAGTGCTCCAAAGACGGCAAAGTCTTCCTACTCGAGAACATTTCCAATAGCCGAGTGGGTGCTTGTAACCATTGCTAGCCAACACCATGATATTGGGGAGCATCTGCTGGACTTCTGGCCCACAGCCAGGACAGTAACTGGTGTCTCTCTGCAAGCAGATTGTGTGTGCTAGTTTGGGCAGTCTGCTGCAGAGGTGGTTTGGTTTGGGTTCTCTTATTCATCGTATTTGCAGGCTGCTCATCCCCTGCGGTCTTTCTCGTTGTGGCTTTGAAAATCCATTTACGGGTTTGCCTGGAACAATCAGTGACTAAGGCTGAGTAAAACGGAAAGGTTGAAGATAGGGAAAATGCAACACTGAAGGAATGAGGTTTCTGTCTTTTTAATCTTCCTCCAAATCTTACTAATGTTACAAACAGCAGGTTGTTGCCCAATGTGTGATATTAGACAATGTTTCCACACAGTGGGATTTGAGCCATTTTTTCTTATGCCTGATTAAGTTACTATTTTTCATGAAACTGGAGAAAGAATATTTGAGGCTGGTATTCTTACCCATCTATCAGCCATTCACACTGTTTGCCATTTTTTCCATAGCACAAGTTTCATTTCTTAATTCATTTAGGGTTCATAATGCCTGAAAATCATTATTAGCATCCATAGAGAGTCATGTCCTTCACTTAGCATTAGGTGCCTGTGTCCATTTAACTACTTTCCTCTCCCCACAGGTTGCCTAATTACACCAGGTTTTTACATCATGGGTCTGAAAAGACCATCAAAAAGCACTGTGACCTGAGGTGTGGAGGTGAAAATTTCTGCAATACTTTAAAAAGATCATAAGCAAGTCAGGTACTGCCACTGCTTTAAAACTGCCTTAAAAACAGTCATGCCCTCTGGTATTAAGCTTTCTCATGAGGTTGATACAGCTGCTTTGTAAAGTCCAGTTCTGATACTGATCACAGTTAATTTAGTTACTTAAGCATTTGCTTTCCCTTTTCTTTTTTGTCTGGAATGACTGGTATGCCTGGGTACTTGTTGCACTGTGGTTTTGATTTCTGTCACCTACAGAAATAAATACAGTGTATATCAACTGAGAAAGTAAATCTTCCTTCACTAAAAAATGACACTAATTAAAGCAGATGTCAGTAAGTAACTGCAGTAATGTCTCAAAACCTGGTATCAGGTGGTAACCTATATTTAAATTTACATTTAATTGTAAGGTTGTAGTAGTCCTCCTACAGATGTTACAAATAGAAAAATGTCTCCAATGGCATTAGTAGCATTTGGAGTTACCTTAATGTGTACACTACTGCTAAACTGCTAATTCAGTTGTGAATCTGGAAGATGGAAAAATATTAACCTGTTCACCACAAAAATCAACAAAAGTATCCCAAGCAGAACCAAAGCTATTTGAATTTGGCATGTCTTAATACATGCCCTAAGACACCCATTTTAAGGTTCTTTAATCTTACTATTTGACATGTTTATGAAAGAAGTATGATAGTGTAAAAAAGGGGAAGGAATTTTAAATGTCAGTTTACATTAATCACATTTTTTCTTGCTTTTAATATTATTTTTTAAATATCAGTAATGGGTTGGATAATTCATGTTCTTGTTTAGTCATAAACTGATATGCATAGCTAGGGTCACTCACATAAAACAAGAAATAAAAATAGTTTTAAAAAATCTTAACAGAAAACTAGACAAACTTAATATGAGTTAAGTATATTTATAAATTGATTTTTTTTTCATTTGGAATTGAAGAGTTGTGTGTTGAGGAGTCACTACAAGAAAAATCTTGAAAAGTAGTGGTTGGTTCCAGCTTTTTCTACCAGGGAAATATTGTGTATTAGTTATTAGTGTACTAATATGATTTATGCTTGAATAGACAAAGAATTTACTGTGATTCTTCTGTTTGCATAAACACTGAGTTGCAACTAGATTACTCAAATTTATCTTATTTTATAGATCTTACTTATAATACTTTATATAACTTGCCATTTTTTGCATTCAACTATTACAAATTGTGTAATTTTGTTGCACACCTGAACATTGTGGATTTTTTCTGAAGCGTATTTTACAGAACATACATGTATCTTTAGGAAGTCACTTGTAAATCCATTGGATTAAAAGGTTCCTAGTTATAATGAATTCTCCTTAATATTTTGGATTAAGTTACTGTAATAAAGGTATTCTTTACAGTATGTGAACTTTTCTAGAACCTAAGAACACTGAGAACTTTCAGATTCAGGTCTGTAAAGAGCTTTTTTTTAACAACCAACTTAATTAGAGACAAGGGCTATAGACTTTTTCTGACATCAGAAGTCTTTGGTCTTTGGAGAAGACAGTTATTATTTTTACAAAAGTTAGTCTTCTAGTTAAATTTAGCTACCCTTTGTATGTCTGATTTTGAAGTCTCTAATCAGGCAACTTTCCACTGCCATAAGTAAAATGCAAAAGTAAACTTTCAGACTTTTTTTTTTTTCTGCTCTGAACTTATAGAGGAACAAATAGATTTTTGTTCATTCAATAAACTTGTCAATTTGCTGAAAAAAGAAAATCATTATAATTTTATTAGCAGGTAACATCCTCAATTCAAAATTAACTGACAAAAGGCCACCTGTCCCTTATCTAATATTTTGTTTTTATCTATCTGCATTACAGTACCAATCTGTGGTTGCTTTGCTTTATACACCATGGGTAGGATTGTTGAATTGCAAAAATGTGCACCTGATGAAGTAAATTAATCTCACTTGTCTGTCTCTTCAGGATCTGACAACTTGATCAGGAAAAGCAGCTACAGGACCTGAGATAGCTGTTGCTCTTTTCTTGCATGGTGAGGGCTGAAGACAAAGCCTTCTGATATCAGTGGATTTTTTTTTTTGTCAAATCTGAGGTTTACAGTGAGGTTTTAATAGCAGTATTTTTTAAACTGTATTATTATACTGAGTATTGATGTGTTGCTAAAGCTGAACATGAGTGGTTTCACAGGATGCAGTTGTATGGTTTCTTTCTTGAATGTGGATTTTAAAAGAGCATAGTGAATATGAAACAAAAAGCTTTCATTTCTTGAATTTATAATGTGTTCAATCTCTGTATATTTTTTCTAATTTTCCCATTTGTTTTCTGTCTTCCAAGATTTTTATAAAAGCGAGATTTCTAAAAATGTGAGATAAATAGATAAATATGCAAATATACAAATTCAGTTACTGCAAATTCAGTCAGAGATTTGAAAATCCACCAATGCTTTTTCTTTTCTTACATATTAGCACCTGTAATGAAAGTTTCCCTACCTATTGTCTATGTAGTATTTACTCAGTGGTCTGCAAGTTGTCTGATGACCCATTCAAAGGAACAGAAATCCAAGACACTCAAAGTAAAGAGCCCACTATCTGTGCATTAACACCTGTGATAGGTACCAGAGTTGGATTCATTTAGGAAGGTCAATAAAGTT